ATATATATATATATTTTTTTTTTTTAATTTTTTTTAAATTTTTTTGTTTTTGGGATTATTTTTATTTTTCTGCAATTTTGCTGACATTTGAATGTTACTCTACAAATTACAATTTTTTTTTTTGCTGAAATCTGATTTGATTTTACTGTGTTGCTGACATTTGTAATTTGATTAGCATGGATAATGGTCCATTTTGCATAGCTGAAAACTAATTTAGGGTTTAGGGTTTAACTTTGAAATTTGAATGTTTACATTGTCCCATAATTTGTACTGAAATATTTTATTCATTTTTTGTCGGAGAGTTTAAATTAGTAGAGTTATTATCAGAATGTTGTCGTAATTTTTAGGACATTTTTTATGTACTGAGAGTGGAGGCACAATTTTAGCGAACCTTCTTTTAACAGAAATTTAAATCATAACTTAGAACTGAGTGATTGATAATGTGATTTAAGTTGATGGAATTCGTAAAATATAACCCATATTGTAGAGGAACCATTACTCTGAATGAAACTCTTACTAGAAAAATGCAAAATTCTTATGTGACATTCTCTTATTGGGTTGAGGTTGATTATGTGAGATTATGTTGATATGTGGGATACTCCGGTGTCTCAGGTTGAATAACTGCTTCATACTAAACAGTATTTTGAGATGTGCTGTTTTATAAATCTTTTTCAACAAGTATTATTACGACTCTGGAGAAAGAGGAACATGTATCAGGCAAAAAATAGCCGTTTGCAGAAAATAATTGAATCCATGGTGATGTTGCTTATAGAGCCAAAGTCATATACTTGCTTAGAAGAAAAAATAGTGTTAGGTTACTTCTCTTTAAAGAAAGTTGAAGGTTAAAAAAATAGAAATTGGAATTTTTGGTATCATCACGCAACTATAGTTATAAGAATGGGCCAAGACATTTTCCTAGTTAGGGGAATTGAGAGAACATTTACATCAGCTGAAATGTTTTTCTTCATTCTTTCCCTCACTAGATGATTTGATGTAACTTTAATATGCAGTGAGTTGAATTACTTGCTGCGACTTTTTCTGTCATAAATGATTTTTTTTTTTTAGTACATTGACTTTTTAAAATTTCAGCACCCCAACTTAATTGTTCTAGGTCTGCCCCTGTATGCACGTTACACGCTTTATTAAAACAGAATATAACATTTGCACTTATTTAGTGAACAATGAATACGTACTTTGCTCAAAAAATGAATGTAAGTGATTTTCTCAACATTTTTAAATATGTGTAAAATTCTCGAATTATAGAAGTTAAATTAGAAAGGAAACTTTTTTTCATTCTCTCCTAGTAGGCCTTCTTAACGAACTTTTTTATATTGGAATTTTTCTGCCAGTTAGTTGACCAAAATGGCGGAATGGATATGCGGAGCCATACGGGGTGGCACGTTAGAAGGGGAGTACGCCCCTGCTCTCACTATAAAGGACTCAATTCAAAGTCCATTTGGATTCCTAGTCTTCAATCACGTCCTCCCACAGCTCTCTTCCTTTGTTGTTGCCCAAAAATCTCAGTCGCAGTCAGTCCACTCTGCTTAAAAGAACCCCTAAAATTCAAATTCCAGAAGCGAAATCTGTTCAAATTATTATTATTTTGACTGGTTTGTCTTGTTTTCTTCCCCTAATTTTGCAGAGGTATTGTGCTGGTTGCACTCTCTCGGGGTCCTTTGTACTGTGAAGAATTGTTTAAGAGTAAAGGATACTACGTAGATTCATAGATGGTTATATTTTTTTACTTAGTGTTTTAATAGTTTAGATGCATGCTTGATAAATTATATAGAGTATCCTTTTTACTAACAGTTGTGAGAGATTTGGAAATTTGATTAGGATTAGGGTTTTGGATCGTTGTACTGACCCACTGGGTTGGAGAAGCAAGCTCATGGAGAGTGGGAGAATTGCAAATTTCATTCCTGGAACTTCAACTAGGGCTAGTTTATATAAAAACGTGAAAGACTTGGATAAGTTATTGTTGGCAATTATTGAACTAGGGAAAGGTATGAGTCCTAGTGAAACTCTAGTTATTTACTGTTTGACAATGTGAATGATGAGTTTGTAGTGAAATTAAGACAGTGTTGAGTTTAAAATGACTTGGTTTCTTTGTTGATGCAGAATCGGTTGGAGATGGAAAGGGACGTTTTGCGGTTGCCATAGACGTGGTAACTTTTTTTCCACGATATTATTTGAATTATGATAAAATGAAATTATAAATATTGCTGGTGTCGTTCTAAATCCCAAATATGTTTTAGGGGATGGGTTGTAAATTACAGATGAAATTTAGGTACAAGTGTGCTTTTTACATTTTCTGAGAAGATTTTTGCAATGCCTGTCAAAGAATGAGAGGAAGCTTTATAAAAAGAATTCGATAGCTGCTAACAAAAGAGGAACTCGACTGTTTGGCTACATTGAAGGTAAAATCTGGCGCCAACCTTTTTTTTTTTTTTTCAAATATTCTTTTTTGGTAAATGAGACCGTCTGAAGTTCTAAAAATTTTGTGTCTGTGATTATGTAATCACATGGCTACCGTGTCAACTGTCAAACACAATGTGGGATGCTCTCTTCGGCAAATAAAAAAAGGGGAAGGCCTTTAATGTTATAAACTACATTTTCAAAGTAAGATGCCAAGAAAACGTTCTGGGATAAATTTATCAACTTGCATAGTTTCCAAATCCTTATAGTATTGTGAATCTTACTCCACACACTCTACTTCTGATGTAAAGTAATCTCCAAAATTCTTTCTGCATATTTTGCATTTTTCTCTATGCTTTTTGTTCTTCCAGTGACCAGTGACCATATAAACTGTCTAGATTCTTTGTACAACATTTGAAGTTGGTTCTTTTGAATTTACCATCTGCTCCTCTCAATTACTGCAGTTTAAGTACAAAGAAAGGAATATTTGTTTTTTCATAGATTATGTCGAACCACTTGAATTAGATGTTTAAGCTTTTAGGGAGAGCCACATGTATATTATTTAAATTTCGTCTTCAACAAGCCCCCTTATGTGTAGACACGATTCTTGTTTCCTCATCAAAGCTGCGACTAGCACAATTTCATTAAATGGGTTGTGGTGAGAATTGAAGCAAGAACTTTTGCTTGCTTGATACCATGTGACTTTTGCTTCCTCTGATACCATGTTGAATTACTTGATCTAAAAAGCTTAAGGTTTTAGAGAGAGCCATATGTTTGTCTTCAACAGATTATTCTCTTGTTTGTGAAACAAGGCAAGGAACATCATTAATTAGACCACTTTTCTTAAGCTTATTATTAGTAATGCTCTTCGGCTGAAATGGTAAAAATAAAAGAGTTGGAGGTCTTTAAATTCCTTTTGCAAACTGCGTAAACTTTGCTGTTCTATATTGGGTCAAAATCAGTGCAGTTCTATAGCCTAAGGCATCTGAGAAAGTAAAGTACAAGGAGTACCACTTATGAGCTCCCAGACTTCAACTTAGAAATATCAATCCGGGTGGTCCGGGTCGGGTCGGCCCGCCAACATGTGAGCCCGGTAACGGCCCGCGTGAAAAAAAGCCCGCCCGCTACGGGTTCCGGGCCGGTTACGGGTCGGCCCACAATTTTGGACTACAACCCAGGCCCGCCCGCTGACCCATCCGGGTCGAGCCCATGCGGGTCACGGGTCGCGCGGGTCGCGGTTC